TTTTCATCGACTACATGTATACATGACGGTATAAAACGCCATTACCTGCCTATCCACTTGAAAAAAGCTGACGCCGATTGACTTATTGTTTGTGCCTCAGGGGAAAAAATATAAAAAATATTTCCGCACGAGGTACGGGCTCTTTGTAATCTACCAGGCGTCTAAAGGAGAATATTTTATTAAAAGGGTTTCTTACCAACTTGAAAACTACGTTGAAAATCTGCTTGGAAGCCCTGATCAATGTTCCACGTGTACATTTAAATGGGAAGAACGTCTCTGAGAAATATCTGAGAAACTTATTCTCATAGAAAGGAGGAAATATGAAGTAGAAAAAGAGAAAGATCAAACTTCGCTTTCGCTTGAAAAGTTTAAGATCGATTCTTCCCCCCCTCCGTCTCTTCTCTTAGGAAAAATTGTTAACTAATCTTTGTATCGCGGTATGATAGTGTGCAGTTCTATCAAATATGTCATGCATTAAAATCAACTAGCTAACGGAATAAATATCATTCATTTGATCGCTGATTTGGAAGCAGAAAAAAATCGCACCGGCGAGCGTAATATCGCCTGTAACAAGAATTTGTCCTAGATGTACCGTTTACGTTTTATTGCCATACGGTCTTCCCGTGGATAACAACACTCGTCATTAAGTTTCCATGCTCCTGTTTTACACTCTGCGAAATGAACGAATTTTGTCATAAGCGGCGGCTCTAAGAAGGCTCCTTTATCGCCTGCTCTCATCGGAAACCCGGCGCGGAAATAAAATACTTTTTTTTATTGCCGAGACTGTAAAGTTAGGCTCATCCTCCTGCGCTCGTCCCGCGAATGTGAGGATAAAAGTTTCGTGCAGGAGTATCGTTTTTAGAACGACCGTGGCGCCTGCTAGCTGTCCCACACACTCGGAAACAACCTCAACCGGAGCATTCGGAGCTAACTGCTGGCTGCACTACGGAGAATGCTTAAAGAGAGAGATAATTAACGCTCTTAATGGTAAACGTTTCGTGATTTTAACGACCGCTAGTACACGAAACGAGCAACTATTTGCAAGGAGCGCGAACATGGCTGCCTCGTACGAATGCTGGCATTATATTAGCCTTAATTTTTAATCGTACAAGTGTAAACTGTCGTAACTGCATTTCGCTGTTCTCACGACGCTAAATTGCAATTGCTTATTCAACACTTTCTTCACGCTGTTATTTTTAAATTACTGTTTTTTTTTTACTTTTCATATATTTAATATAAAAACAACTTTTAAAAGCATTAAATTTTTAATTGTTAAGAGATCTTTTTACTTTTAAGAATAATAAACATGTATTTAAAGTCTAATTTTTAATAAAAGATATTTTAAAATATTATTTTACGATGAAATTTAAAACGTAATTTTTAAACGTAAATTTTATTGATATAAATTACATGATATAAATTACATTGTACTTAACATTAAACTCATATAATATTAAATTATTATCGCGTTTCAAAGAAAGAAGTTTCATGTTTTATTCAACCAGAATATGATTAACAAATTTCATGTTTTATTCAACAGAATACAACGTTCTGTTCCCAAATTTTGCTTTCCAAATTAATTTAATATTTGAGTTAACGCCTTTAATGCAACATTAACAGCTTCTAAAATCTACTTCAGTTGAAATTAAGCTTAATAAATTGAATATAAGATAAGGCTCCCGATAAAAGAATATAAGAATGAGGCATATAATGGCAATAAGAGCACAACGCAGTTGAGCGCGTAAAGTTTAATGTATAATCAATGTAACATAATCAATGTAACATAAAGCGGACATTTCGGCTGATCTTTCAGCCTTCATCAGCGCACGAGATAAAAAAATACAGATAAATCTACTTAGACAGAGAACGAATCGCAAATTCATAGTTATCGTAGCTGCAAATATCGAAATTCATAATGCCGATGGTCTCTCACAATACGAAGCATCTTCAAGAAATGTTACAGTAGTTGTTAGGATGACCAACTCCTCGATTACAGGGTCGAAAGTTGAGAAATCCCAAATTGTACAGAGCATGATGTTATGATGTATTTGTACTAATGCCTGTAAACGATCGGCGTGGTTCATATACGAGACGATGTGAGAAAACGCGCAGATATATATAAGAAAATAAAAAATTAACTCACACATAAATTCAGAGCTGATGACGCTAACAGAAAATTCAGCAAAGGGTCTTAGGCATTGACAGATAAATGAAGCGGCCGCAATGCCGTGGCACAAGTGACTGTTGTCAAGCGAGAAAACGAAATTCGAACGCAAACCATTTCGGAAAGGCTGACAAAAATGAGAAGATGAAGAAAAATGAAAAGATAATAATATATACATATAAGAAAAGACACAAGTGTATGTAGCGGACAAGAGACGGTCGGAAAGTAATAATAATATACTTAAGGAAATAAACTGAACGTACGTAATAAAAATGATAAAAACGAAAGCAATCAAATATAAGGCGAGTGTAAAACACTAAAAATAATTTAGTTATGAATGCGTTGTTGTACTAAATTAGATCATAATAAAGTTGTTGCAGATAAAATACATGTGTCCATAATAGAAAAGTAAAAGGAATGATAAATTAAAATTATATAAAGAATATAAAACATATATGAAACACAAAGGCCGTATGAAAACAAAAATAAAAATAAAATAACGTTGAATCAAATTTTCGAGAGTTTTTCTATTACAGTCGCATACACTTCCGGGAGGCACTCGGTCTGCAAATTGATACTGTTCTTTTGTCTTTTTATGTGTAACACTTCAGAAATTAACCTTAAAGCTTAAATTTAAGCTTAATAATTCTATACAAAGGGTAAACCACTATATAATGTTGGTGCATAAGATTAAGATAGTAGTAGGAATTACTAAATGTTATTCTAATTGGTTTATTTCATTAAAGTGTTGAATCCCATTTAAGTAACAGCTAATTTTTTTGACCTATGATTCGGTAAATTCTATTTATACGCTTTGCAAAACCAATAATTCTGCTTAATTTAATAAAAATAAAAATTTTAAATTATCATTTCAAAGTATTAGCCTCTTAACGTTCTAACGAGTCACATGTTACATGAGAAAAACATTATATGGATTTTTGTCAGCGGTTTATCTGATACTAAGTCGAATCCGAAAGTCTCCAATTGTGAACGATTTGTTGTTTGGATTGCAGGTCCAATAAGCTGAAGCCGTTTTGGCACAGCGTAAATGAGCCCATACCGGTCATGGAATATCTCTCCTCCGCCCTTTTGTCTTCCGAATACGAGCGTGCGCTTGGTCGCGCTCTCGCGATGCCGGAATGCCCGGTGGTGCCATTCTTCGGGGCCTTCCTGCGTGAGCTGCGGGAAGTTATCGCGTGCGAAACAAAGGTAAACGCTAAAAGCACTTCACCGCTATCGCTATCGTAGGGTATCATACATTTTGTGTACATTTTAAATTGTAAAAAAAAAAATGCTTGCACGAAATGTTTCGCGCTTCAATAAATCGACATCTCACTTGTATTTGATCACGTAAGCAATGTTAAATGTTACATATCGGCATTCGCATTTTCCAACCGCACTATTTTGGAATATCTCTTTCTATCCATGAAGATTACTGTCAACGTGAGGTGAGACTCAAGATTCGTACGTGCGCCGAGCAGTAAGACTACTTATTTAGATAGGATGAAAATTCGGAATCAAAATCAAACGTAACGCACAATGAATACGAATAAGTATAAAATATAGTCATATCTTATATTTACTTGTATTTATCGTGCGTTACGTTTAATTTTTATTCTGAATTCTTATTTCTAAAAATTTAATATTTATTTCTATTCCTAATATTTCCTCCATTGTGCGCATGCCCTAACACAACTTTTCGTCAAATAAGTTTGTCTCTCTTTATCGGACGTTCAAGCGGATGGAACACGATACGACGAGAAAAAAGCTGAGTCGAGGAGAATGCCCACAAGTAATTGAACACTTTCGAGTACGTTTTGGCAAACGGCCAATAAAGTTCACCGGTGATATCCGTCATGTCTCTCCCGATCGTATCGCAAGTGGAGCTGCAGAGAGTAACCGAGGGAACGAGGGATGGTCAGTGATACGGCAAATTTACTTCGTCCCTTCACCAAGATTAGCATGTTCAAAAGATAGAGAACTTTGATGTTGCGGCGAATTCATTTAAAGAAAGGAAACTGATAGGAAATTAGAGCAAATTAGGAAATTTACTCCACGGTTTAAAATACGCTAATCTAAATTTGCTAAAAGCTTATTCGAAAAAAATAGTTCAATAAAACTGAAACTGAATACCAGCTACTAAAAACGCATCAGAAAGATCTTTCATTAAAATATATTTTTATTTTTAATAACAGATGGTTTACTGTGAAATAATTGTTTGTGTATTACGTAGTAATTTTGTTGTTACTTTATTTAAATTATCAGAACCGATGCAGTCTCTGGGAATTGTGGAGGAAAAAAACCGTTTGCGTTTCAAGCGAAATGATTTCAAGCGCAAATCAGAAATGAACATCGAAATTTTTCTACGAAATTTCACGAAGAATAGCGGCAGAAGAGGACCGAAGTGAAAGCAGCGCCGTAAAAGCGACAAGAAAAGGGGTTTCTATCGGCCTCCAGCAGCTACGATGGTTGTAGGCCGGCGGAAACTACTTGCTCTTGTCGCTAACGATCGTCATCGGGGAACAAAACGGTTGCGTCTTCCTAGCATTTTACAGCGTCACGTTATTCGTTGTTTAAGAGAACGTTAAAAGTGGCCGCAACGAAAATCACTGCTTCCAAGAGTAGCCTGTGAAACTTAAATCGCATTAAGGAATGCGATAAGTAAGCCAGTTGTTAAAACCAAGCATGTATTCGGCACTACGAATTTGTAATTAGACTCTTCGTCCGTGGAATGACGTTGTAAAGCAACGTTCGTTTCAAAAAGATAAACGAAGAATGTGGACAAAACTTTACACGTTATTAAGGTAAAATACACTTTAGTTTGTGTTAGAATTTTGAGTAGAATTTCTATGAATGCCGCGCAATATGAAAGATATTTTACATATTTTAGACACATATATCAAAATACATTTCTATTCAGAATTCTGATGTGATCATCTAAAGTGAAATAATAAATACAGTCGTTATTTATACAATACTTAATTGTTATTCAATAACCTCGTTATATACAACATTAAATTATATATTTATTTTATATCCGTTTTATTTATATTTGCGATCTTTGTCTCATATATCTTAATGTTAAACAGTTACAATTCTCTCTCAGATAAAATAAAAGCCATATGTTGTAAAAATATACTATCTACTTGTTAATCTACTAATATATAGCGAGAATTTTTACTTTTTCAACATAAACGTATGCATAAATATATAGAATGTAAAGAAATTACGCACAATTACACAATGATGAAAATACGAAAAACATTTTGGGATGTATTTTAGATTTGTGGAACAATATCTGTATATGTGTGACATTAAGCAATCTGCAGCGTGATCATTCAAGTTTCACGTCTCTTAATGTTGATTGCTAATTATATTCAAATGAATTCGACGTCGATTGACATTATGGGAGTAAAGTAAACGACGCGCTTTGCCTTGAGATTATTGAAGACGCGGCATATCTCGTTGTCATTGCTCCTCCCTCTCCCCCCCTTCTCTCTCTCTCTCTTCTC